TCCAACCGTGACATATATAGTTTACCAAATTGTAGATATTAAAAAAGTTATTAACCCAGCCTTTAGTTGCATGTATTTCTTCATGGCAAAGGAGTCGGACTAGTCCTGTGTTTGCTTTCTGGATTTGACTCCATTTTGCAGCGTATTTCCGCCGATGGGGCATCCATCCCATTTATTCCACAACATCCCCGTATTTGTTCTTTTTCATCCTGGCTTCTGGCGTCTCTTTGGGATTCGAACTCGGCGCTCCCTCTGCAAAGAGAAGAGAGAAGGATAAAGAATCTTGCCATCCCACCAAATAGCCAATATTTAGGTTAATCTTCTTGATCACTGCAATCCTAAAGTCACATTAAAAACAACACAAAAATAAACATATTTTAAATGTATGGTTGTTTTCTAGACTCAGTGGTTCCCAGACTTTGGTCCTCCAGATGTTTTGGACTTCAGCTCCCAGAATTCCTGACTCTTCCTGGCCAACAGTCAGGAATTCTGGGAACTGAAGTCCAAAACATCTGGAGGACCCAAATTTGGGAATCCTTGCAAGAAGGGAGACCCTCTCTCCAAACAAGAGCAACAGCGCTTGGCTCACCTTTGGGGGCATTTGGGGGCATTGTCCGGTGGTCCGTTTCCAGGAAGATCCACAAGTCCGAACATTTCTGGGTCTCCCGCTGGGTCACCGCATAGCTGGCCACTGAACCTATGACTGCAAGGAGAGCCGGGATTTGCACAAGGAACCCAAAGGTTTTAAACCACGCTTTTGCGGTTGGGGGCTTTCAAGTCGTTTCTGGTGACCCCCAATGCAAAGTTATCCTGGGGTCTTCTGGGGCTGAGAGTGTGTGACCCACCCAAGGGCTCCCATGGCTGAGCGGAGGGAGATTCGAACCCTGGACTCCAGAGCTGTAGTCCTACGCTCTTTAACCACACTTGCTTGGAAATAAAATCCCACGCAACTCCAAAATGGCTGAGAGGGGAGGGACTACGGGTCCCAAAATCCTCCTTTCCAGTGTGGATTTGGGGAGTCATAGTTTTTAAAAAGTAACTTTCCCAAGCTTTGGCTGATTCCCAAGTTATTGCAAAGAGCGACTTTGCAATCAGGCGGAAATAATAATTGTGCAGCCAGAAGTTTCAAGTCCTAAATTTGGAGAGCGTGGTGCAATGGTTTCAGCATTGGAACTACGACTCTGGAGACCAGGGTTCGAATCCTGGCTCAGTCATGGAAACCCACTGTGTGATGTGACCTTAGGCACGTCACACTCTCTCAGCCTCAGAGGACGGCCTCCGAAGAAACCTGGCAAGGAAAACCTATTTTTCAAGTAGAAATTCCTTAAAATACCGACCGAAGGAGACCAGGATGTTCCAATGGAGCGGATAAGGCATCTTCCGGTTGAGTTTCTGGAGGATAAAGGCCGCTCCGGAGGCTTTTGGGACAAGAGAGACCCAGATTAGTAGCAGCAAGAGCACACCTTGGTGGAGTGCAGCACCCATCGTCCCCAGGACAAGGGAAGATGGCCTGATGTCCTCAGCACAAAGGAGGACATGGCACTGAAAAACAGAGGACCTTCAAGAAAAATGGAGGGCATGACCAAAGGAATGCAAATGCATGCTTCTTTGCCATGCTCAGAATGGAGGACATTCTGGGTGGAAAATGGAGGATGTGTCCTGGGAAAGGAGGACATGGGGTCACCCTGAGCTAAGTGTTAATAATAATGATAATAGCAGTTTATATTTGCAACTTAATTTTTCCTAAAAGAGTGCAGTAAAGGGCCAGAAAATTTATGGCCCTTTGCAAAATAATAGTAATAATAATAATAATAATAATAGTAATAGCGGCTTATATTTGCAACTTGATTTTTCCTAAAAAGAATGTAGTCAAGGGCCAGGAAAATTTATGGCCGTATATAATAATAATAATAATAATAATAATAATAATAATAATAATAATAATAATAATAATTTATATTTGCAACTTGATCTTTCCCAAAAGAGAGTAGTAAATGGACAGGAAAATTTATGGTTGTCTATTAAATAATAATAATAATAATAATAATAATAATAGCGGCTTATATTTGCAACTTGATCTTTCCAAAAGAGAGTAGAAAAGAGACAGGAAAATTTATTGCCGTATATAAAATCTTAATAAGAATAATATAATAATAATAATGATAATAATTGCTTATATTTGCAACTAGATGTTTCCTAAAAGAGAGTAGTAAAAGGGCGTATATAAAATAATAATAATAATAATAGCAACTTATATTTGCAACTTGACCTTTCCCAAAAGAGAGTAGTAAAGGGCCAGGAAAATTTATGGCCATATATAAAATGATGATGATAATAATAATAATAATAATAATAATGGCTTATATTTGCAAATAGATTTTTTCTATATATGGCCTTATACAAAATAATAATAATAATAATAAATATTTTATATTTGCAACTTGATCTTTCCCAAAAGAGAGTAGTAAATGGACAGGAAAATTTATGGCTGTCTATTAAGTAATAATAATAATAATAATAATGATAGCGGCTTATATTTGCAACTTGATCTTTCCAAAAGTGAGTAAAAAAGAGACAGTAGAATTTGGTGCCGTATATAAAATCTTAATAACAATAATATAATAATAATAATGATGATGATAATAAATGCTTATATTTGCAACTAGATGTTTCCTCACCTGAGACGAAGGCCGCCATGCCCTTCAGGAAGGCCGACGACTGGCAGGCCACGTACTCCTCAAGGCCCTGCAAAGGAAGGGACAACCAACACCATCATCCCCATCATCATTCCCATCCTCAGGGTCAGGGCTCCTCCCATTAGGGACCCCAGCCACCAATCTATACTGTGTATCCCTTGCATGCATTAAAGATAAACTGTATATGCTTGGTATGCACTGAAGACACATTGTATATCCCTTGAATAATAATAATAATAATAATAATAATAATAATAATAATAATAATAATAATTTATTTCTTATATCCCGCTTTTTGCCTAGGCAATCATGCATTGCATTGTATGCACCGAAGGAACACTGTATATCCCTTGCATGCATTGGGTTGGTTGCAATCCAAAACATGGATTTCACTGCAGAGATC